GCCTATATGCTTAAAAACAAAAACAAAACTGAAAAAAGATATTTACTCAAATGTCCACTGTGTTATCTTTCATGATAAAATTACAGGTGGTTTTTGTTTTCTTCTTTTTGTCAACCGGCATTTTCTGAATTTTCTACAATGAATACCTATGGTTTTTGCAGTAAGAAAAAGTTAATTTTTGAACAAGTATTCAGATATGTGTCAGAAAGAAACAAATCATCAGACCATGAAGTTCTGAGATGGGCTAGAAATAGTGGGGATGGAAAACAAGTGAGAGCTTCTGGGGGCCTGGGGAAAGAAGAGAGAAGCTCGAAGACTTGGTGACTGGATTATGCAGAGGGACAATCTGAGTCAGTGGGACCTCCAGGTTTTCTGTCCTGGGAGTCTGGATGGTTGGCAGTGCCACCAACAGAAACCAGACCAAATGGGGGAGGGGCAGCTTCAGGAGAACCAGACAGAAGGTGAGGGGCCACCAGGTACCAGGCAAACACCAGTTTCACTGATTTTATTGTTGAGTGCTTATTTTTTGTTTCCTTATGCCTTGCCTTACTGGGGAAGGATTTAAAGGCAGCTTAAAAGAGGCTATAAATTATGACATAACATGAGTATAAAGTAGGAACAAGATTTTAAAAAGAGCAAGAAGGAACATAAAATAGGGCCAGGTACAAGGCAAAAGCATGAGTCTTGTAGTTCTTGGGCCACACAGTTAGCTCTGAGTGTTCCAGCTACAGTGCAACCTGGTGAGGCCTGAACACGCTAGAGGTGAGGGTGGTGGAGAGGATCAACCACCTGGATTTGGGAGGAAGCCACGTAAGTGTGAAACGGAAGAATGGGGAGATGACGGTGAGAGAGAAGCAGGGCAGACATTGAGAGGAGAGAACAGAAAGTGAGGACAGAGCCTCTTCTCGGAGGAAGGGAAGGCAGAGAAGGAAAGGTCAGAGGAGCAACAGGAGACCCAGGAAGAGGGAAGTTCAAAGGCAAGGTGCTTCAAAGCCTACCAGGGTCAGGAAGGAGGAAACTGGGGATGAGGGGCCAGCTGACCATCATGGATCGTTGGGCGGGCAGTGGTAGCAGAGGAGCCTGGTGGAAACCTATGGAGCAGAGGAGGGAATTGGGGTGGAGGCTGTTGCAGGTGCAGAGGGGAAGGGGAAAAGAGCCAGTGCCCTCACCAAGGACAGCTGTGCGTTGAGGAGAGGCCTGCGCTGAGTTTTAGGCAAGGAGGGAGAGGCTGAAGGTCCAAGGGACAACCAAACACTGATGAGTACAGGATTACATTGTCGACCTACTAACTCACTTTAGGCTGTCTTCCCAGTCGATTTTCTCTGACTACTTACCCTCTCCTGTATGATCCCCTTTGCAATCAGTTTATGACCTTGGATTAATTAGGCTGACCAGGGTTATTCTGTGGCCCCCACAGAGGGCGCCCATAGTGGTCTATGAAAAGTAAAGAACTTGGACTAGATGACAAGATCCTACCCCAAAACTACGATGTTGACCTCTGGTTACAGGTTCTAGGGCTCCCTGAGTGTA